AAGGGTAGGAAGGAAGGAAGGAAGGAAGGAAGGAAGGAAGGAAGGAAGGAAGGAGAAAAAAGTACAAGTCCTAAGGGTTTTAGTGGGAATTCTATGAAACTTTCAAATCCCTTTATAAAATCAAACTGAAAGCAAAATTTGCCTGATTTATTTTAGGAGGCTACACCTACCTTGATACTCAAACCAAATATATATCAAACGAAGACTAAATTCCCTTATGAACACAGATTCAAAAATATTCAATAATCAAATCCAAAAACTCATTCAAAATACCATCCACTATGATAAAATAAGCCTCATCCCAGATATTCAACCCCTGGGATATCATCCCAGGGATGATTCAACATACCTAAATTGACAAATGTAATCCACCACATAAAAAACTGAAAGGCAAAAACATGATCAATGTCCATAGAGGTGTTGCAGGTTTGGCTACTGTGTCACATGTACATCGTTAGGTAGTAGAGAAGAGAGAGGCTATATCTACGTTGAGTCTTCTGACCTGTAAACATCTGAATGATTACTAGCCTAACACTACCTGAAAAAGAAGAGCCTAGTATGACCACCAATCTGTTGCCCGAGGGCCCATACAGGGAAGTAGACTGAGGTGACTGTTAGTCTGATGCTGTGCCCACCTAGAGGGGCAGACCATACCCAAGATGATGCCTGCTCAATGCTATAATGCACAAGTGGGACATAGTACTCCTCAGTCTACTCCTGAGATAACTCCAGACACTCAGAGACCATAGGAACCAATACGAAGATCCAGGAAATGATGCAGAAATGGGAGAGAAAGAAAGAAAAATGTAAGCTCCATGAAGAGAGGAAGAACTGGAGAGTTGAGGGTAATGAGGAATAGCCTGATGTGAGGAGCCCTGGTAGGATCCTGCTCTGAGCTGTCACAGGTGCCATGTATGGAACTGCAGCAACAGGGATCTGTTACCACCAAATGCCAGGTGGCTATCCCTAGTCTGGGCTTCTGCCAAGAAAAATTTTAATGTCTGAGGGCTGTGAAGAACTAGCCCCATCCCTTGCCTGAGCATTGTGGGAGAGTTATTCCTAGGGGCTTGAGGGTAGACAAGCTGATACACACCTATATAGATCCATTATTCAGGAGAGGGGTCCTGTACCTCCCTTGAGTAGCACAGTAGAACTGATCTTGGTGGAAGGAACACAGGCAAGGTGTACCCAAGGGTATGGATGTGGGTGTGGGAGATCTGGCCCTGCCAATTTTCTGTCATGAGTGACAAAGTTGAGGGAGATATGCCCTCCCCACTCCCTTATCCTTTGTACCTATGGCAGAGAGGAGAGCTGTGTCTATACCACAAGAGTGGGAGAATTGGTCCAATCTTTCACCAGGTGCAACAATTGGGAGAGTGAGCACTGCACCTTACCTGGATACCAGGGTAAAGGTGGCCCTGGTTGTGAAGGAGAAGAGGTTTTAAGTCAGCTGGCCTGGTTGGATGGGAAAGCAGAAAAGGTGGTACTATCCCTGAATGGGTGTGGCATTGGACTGGAAAGGGCAGGAGAGCTCAAACCCTAGGTATGCGTACAGGAGAGCTAGTAAACTGACCAACTCAGCTACCTCTCAGACCCAGAAGCAGGGCTTTGAAATGGAACAACTCAACATCTACCTTATTGTTGAACTGCTGGAGTGCACGAAGGATCCCAATCCTATGGATTCAAAACTACAGGATCTGAATGACACAAGGAAATGACAGGATTATCTGAGAGGATTCCCAGTGATGTTGCAGTTTTGATAGTGTAGCAGAAGCTGGAGACATGTACCAGACCAACAACCCATTGATATAAACATTTGCAAGCAAAGAAGTGTGGACAAAAGTGTATACTGTGGGACACACTGTGACACACCATAGCTTCCACTACAAGTATTTCTGTCTATTGTGGGAATGATTTCAAGGTTGGAGGGTGGGTCCTAGAGGACAGAAGATGAGTGAGATTGGGGTGCATGATATTAAATTCACAAAGAACCACTAAAAAGTTTAGAAAAATACCTATATGATTATCTTATCAGATGCAGAAAAGACTCTTGATCAAATCTAACACACCTCCATGAAAATAACCTGGAATGATTAGGGATACAAGGGATATAACTCAACAAAATAAAGGCAGTTTACAGAAAGCCCATAGCCGTCATCAACATAAATGGAGAGAAACTCAAGACAATTCCTCTAAATTCAGGAAGAAAACAATGTTTTTCACTCTCACCATACCTGTTCAATATAGTGCTTGAAAACTTAGCTGGGGCAATAGGATAACTAAAGGAGACTGAGGGTTTGCAAATTAGAAATGAAGAAATCAAAGTATTTTTATTTGCATATTATAAGCTAGTATATATGAGACCCTAAAATTTTTACTAGAGAAGTCCTACAGCGAATATACTTTGAGCAAAGGTGCTAGGTACATATAATATCATAGCCATCCTATATATAAATGACAAACAAACTGAAAAAGACACCAGGTAAACAGTATCTTTCATAATATTGTCAAGTGAGATAAAATATCTTGGGATATTTCTAACAAAAAAAGTGAACACTAATAGAACACGGGAGTAGTGTGAGATGTTTCACCCAGCCAATGCAATTACTAAAGATTGTGCCATTTGCCTTAAATAATATGGTATTTACTTTGTAATGCTGCACTGAATATTAGAAAGTTTTCTAGTGAAATCACTCAGGGAAAGAGGCTCTGATTCAAGCAGAAGGTATTTCAGCCACATGTTTTCTATATTCTAATGTGAGAACCGGTATTTTACGTGTTTTCTTCATGATTCAGACATACGAAATCTGTATGTATTTGAAATGGAGCTATCAATGCAATGCAAGCCGAAGCCACGCGTTTTCAGAATGTGAGGAGATGGGCCTTCTCTGCTCTGAGAATGGCTGTAGTGTGTGTGTTCCCAGCATATTTCTTCCTATTTGAGAGCAATAAGAAAGGCAAATTCACACTAGTAAGACTCCTAGCAAAGTGCAATTTAAATAATGTTAATGAAAAGCTTTTATATTTGCATTGAAATGTTGAAAAGACAATGTAAACGAAATGAACCAAATGTTCAGGTTCAAGTAGATTTCTTTCAGAAGATTTTGTGGAAGGTACAACACACAGCTAATATTTTAGTGAAATAACCAGATAATCAGTTGCATAGTTCACAGAACACAATAAATCTTAGCTCTCACCAAGACCAAAAGTCACAGTCTTAGGAGTGTCGTTTTACACTGATGATAGCAATTTTTGTTTCCCAGTTGTAAGAAGAAACCAAATGCAAGCAATTTTGAATAAAACTTTCATTTTGAAAAGGGATCAAATCCAGCTTAGGCTCCCAAGATCTCCCTGGGTATCTGATAGGTAACTTGACATCCTGTTTGGCAAGTTGAGTCATGAATGCTAGGCAAGTCACCCTACCAAGGTTCGGTAAACCAACTAATGCAAACAGAATAAATAAGTCACAAAGACAAGTTCCCAAGAAAGTCCCCATATCCCTAAATCTGCATTGGTGGAAAAATATAGATGACTTGGGGCAGATCTTTTAGATGCTTGTGGTTTTCACGTTAATAGCTCTGTAGCATTCTGACTCCTGTTCCAGTTCACCTCCGAGTCTGTTCTCACCCTTATTGATCAGTAAAGGCTTGATTACAATGGATTTTTGTCACCTTCATTGACCTTATTTTTCAGAAGTGTTGCATCTAAGGGCACCTCATAACACAGTGAACTAGCTCTTGTATAAATGTAGTGTGAAGAACACATAATCACATCACTGTCTTTCCTTCTCAGTTTCAAGGTATGTATTGTCAAAGCATTTTGCATTATAGAACATGCATCACATGCTGATTGTAGTTTGGGGATTAGGAAGCACAAAATATGTTATGCAAATCCACTTTATATATTTCCAGGGAACAATTATCATGAATCAGCTTTCTCCAACAAAGTACAGGTATTTAAAAGAAGGGTAAACAAGAAGAAGTTTTATAACTCAGGGATTAAATAATCTCTATTGTGATCATTGATGTCTTCATAGTTTGGATGACTGATCTAAGCAATACAAAAAGGTTTCCTTATGGACAACTAAGCAGAAACAAAGATAGTCTATTGCTTAAAACAGGATGGATAGTAATAACAAATAGACTCATTAACACTATAGTCTTTATTGATGTTTTTAATACAAGAAACTTTTTTTTCAAAGTGGCAATGGAAGAACATGATCTCCATCAACTTTATAAGACTGCCAAACTTTAAATACTTGTATAGCTTGATATACTTGTCAGATTTTTGATTGTTACTTTCCTGGATAATTTGAATACCTTCCAGAAGAATTTAGCCTTCTCTATTGAACTTTTTTTTTGCCAAACTACTTAAGAAATTAATTTCTGTGTTCTTTATATGTAACAATACAGTGGACAGGTTCAAATAACACTGAGACTAGAAATAAATGCTATATACACTTGAACCAAAAGAGCCAGGAGAAAAAAAGAACACAAAAGTAAATAATGCAGATGACTCATACATTATTAAATTAAATGACAATATATGAATAAAGTTGAAGAATGCATATATCCATTGTTTTTTGAAGCAGGTTTAACTGGCTACATTGAGATTCTCATCTCTTGTCCAGATTCACACTGTTTGGAAATTGTACCCTCTTTCATTTCCGAGATCCTGTAGTCTTTCTGTGACTGATACATATTCAGGGGATAAAAGACTTCAAAGAAACTCACAGCCATACTATTATTAAAATCCCGACTTCTACATCTACTCTTCTCTGAAATCGATCTGCCGATAAAACTCTTGAATTATAGCAATTCCTTTGCTTTTTCACAAATACTCCTTTTTTTTCTGACTTGTAACTCTCACAGGCCATGTAGTATATAATATAAAGCCTCTCAGAGCCCAAATAAATTTGTAGCACCTGAATTTGTGCCAAAAGAGCCTTTTGTAATAGAGGAATTGCATTACATAAAATGTACTCTATGGATATCTTAGTTAATAGCACTCCATAGTGATAGAAATTAAACAAATGAGCTGGTTGAAATAGCATCCTGAATTATTTTAAAGGAAATATGCATCTTCATCTTCACGCATATTCCAAACAACTGTAGTGAGGCTATTCCCAAAGTTGTTGCCTGTCCATGGGGTATTTTCTTCTAGCTGGGTTGCTTGTCTGGCCTCAGTAGAAGAGAAAGCACTTAGGCCCACAGAGATTGGATGTGCCAGGGTGGGTGATCCCCTGGGTGGGACTCCACCCACTCAGATGAAAAGGAAAGTGGGGTTGGGGAGAAGGATTGTAGGATTTGGGGGAGTGACAAGGAAGGGGCATTGTGTAGGATGTAAAATGAATAATAAAATTAATTAATTAATTTATTAACAAATTAATTTTTTTAAAGTAAAAGTGTCACTTTCTAAAATTTTGTCCTTTTTCACTTGTATTTTAATAAAATTATATTCTTTCTGAGATTTTGTAGTAATTTATCAATCATCTCAGACACAGGTATTTGATACTGGTTTTTACACTGATCATAAA